CAAGTTCAACATCCGGTCCATGTCCGTCATCGCCCACGTCGACCACGGCAAGTCGACGCTCACGGACTCCCTCGTCGCCAAGGCGGGCATCATCGCGCAGAAGCACGCTGGCGAGACGCGGTACACGGACACGCGCGCGGACGAGGCCGAGCGCGGCATCACGATCAAGTCGACGGGCATCTCCATGTTCTTCGAGTACAAGATGTCGGCGGGCGAGAAGGCCGAGATCGCCGCCGCCGAGGGCCGCGCGCTCAAGGTCACGGGCGGCGGCGAGTCGGAGGTGCTGAAACCGGCGACGGAGGACGGCGCGCCGGCGATCACGGACGACTCGTACCTCATCAACCTCATCGACTCGCCGGGCCACGTCGACTTCTCCTCGGAAGTCACGGCGGCGCTGCGCATCACGGACGGCGCGCTCGTCGTCGTCGACACGATCGAGGGCGTCTGCGTGCAGACGGAGACGGTGCTCCGCCAGGCCATCTCCGAGCGCGTCAAGCCCGTGCTCCACGTGAACAAGGTCGACCGGGCCCTGCTCGAGCTCCAGCTCTCGCCCGAGGACATGTACCAGTGCTTCGCGCGGTCCGTCGAGTCCGTGAACGTCATCATCGCGACGTACAACGACGAGCTCCTCGGCGACTGCCAGGTCTACCCCGAGAAGGGCACCGTGTCCTTCGGGTCCGGTTTGCACCAGTGGGGCTTCACGCTCTGCAAGTTCGCGCGCATGTACAGCGAGAAGTTCGGCATCGGCTACGACAAGATGATGCAGAAGCTCTGGGGCGACAACTTCTTCGACGCCAAGGGCAAGAAGTGGGTCAAGTCCGACAAGGACGGGACGCTGGAGCGCGCCTTCTGCCAGTTCATCATGTCGCCCATCTGCAAGATGTTCACGGCCGTCATGGAGGACAAGCGCGCGAAGATCGCGAAGCTGTTGAAAGCGGTGGGCGTGACGCTCAAGAAGGAGGACGAGGAGCTCGTGGGCAAGCCGCTGCTCAAGCGCGTCATGCAGAAGTGGCTCCCCGTCGGCGACGCCATCCTCGAGATGATCGTCGTCAAGCTGCCGTCGCCCGCGGCCGCGCAGCGCTACCGCGTCGAGAACTTGTACGACGGCCCGCTCGACGACGCGGCCGCGAACGCGATCCGCACGTGCGACACGTCCGAGGGCGCGCCCCTCATGATGTACATCTCGAAGATGGTGCCGTCCTCCGACCGCGGCCGCTTCTTCGCCTTCGGCCGCGTCTTCTCGGGCAAGATCGCGACGGGCCAGAAGGTCCGCATCATGGGCCCCAACTACGTGCCCGGCAAGAAGAGCGACCTCTGGGTCAAGAACATCCAGCGCACGCTGATCATGATGGGTCGCTTCCAGGAGCAGGTCCAGGACATCCCCGCGGGCAACACGTGCGGCCTCGTCGGCGTCGACCAGTACCTCCTCAAGTCGGGCACGATCACGACGTGCGAGGAGGCGCACTGCATCAAGACGATGAAGTTCTCCGTGTCGCCCGTCGTGCGCTGCGCCGTCGAGCCCAAGAAGGCCCAGGACCTGCCCAAGCTCGTCGAGGGCCTCAAGCGCTTGGCGAAGAGCGACCCCATGGTCCTCTGCTACACGGAGGAGTCCGGCGAGCACATCATCGCGGCGACGGGCGAGCTCCACCTCGAGATCTGCCTCAAGGACCTCCAGGAGGACTTCATGGGCACGGAGGTCAAGGTCTCGGACCCCGTCGTGTCCTACCGCGAGTCCGTCGGCGCGACGTCCGCGCAGACCTGCCTCTCCAAGTCGCCCAACAAGCACAACCGGCTCTACATGGAGGCCCACCCCCTCTCCGACGAGCTCGCCGACGCCATCGAGGACGGCAAGATCTCCGCCAAGGACGACCCCAAGCTCCGCGCGCGCGCCATGGCCGACGAGTACGGCTGGGACGTGACGGACGCGCGGAAGATCTGGGGCTTCGGGCCCGACGGCTCCGGCGCGAACCTGATCTACGACCAGACCAAGGGCGTCAACTACCTCGCGGAGATCCGCGAGTCCGTCGTCGCGGGCTTCCAGTGGGCGTCCAAGTGCTCCGTGCTCTGCGACGAGCAGATGCGGTCCGTCGCGTTCAAGCTCCTCGACGTCACGCTCCACGCGGACGCGATCCACCGCGGCATGGGCCAGATCATGCCCACGGCGCGCCGCGTCCTCTTCGCGTCCATGCTCACGGCCGAGCCCGTGCTCCAGGAGCCCCTCTTCCTCGTCGACATCTCCGTGCCCCAGGACGCCATGGGCGGCTGCTACGGCGTGCTCACGCGCCGCCGCGGCGTCGTCTTCCACGAGGAGCAGCGCCCGGGCACGCCCATGGTCCAGATGAAGGCCCACATGCCCGTCATGGAGTCCTTCGGCTTCAACGCGGACGTCCGCGCGGCGACGGGCGGCAAGGCGTTCCCCCAGATGGTCTTCTCGCACTGGCAGGTCCTCGCGGGCGACCCCACGGACCCGGAGACCAAGCCGGGCAAGGTCATCACGGACGTCCGCGCGCGCAAGGGCCTCGCGCCCGAGATCCCGCCCCTCGACCGCTTCCTCGACCGCCTCTAGGCGCCGCGGCGGCACCGGGCCGTCCCGCCCGGGCGCCGCCGCGCGCGCGCCGCGCGCCGGCGAGCCCGGGGGCAAGCACTAACGACCCCCTCCCCCCCCCTTCCAGCGCGGCCCGGGAGGAGGGCGGGCGGCCCGCGGAGCGAGGGCGGGCGGGCGTCGGTCGTCGAAGGACGCGTCGAAGGCGCGCGGAGTTCGCCATCTTTCGCCTGAGGTTGGACTAGTTATTGAAGGGGATGCGCGCCCGACCTGAGGTTGGACTAGTTATTGAGGTTGGACGTGCACGCGAGAACTTTCGGTCGCGCTGCCCTGTCTGGGTCAAGGGAGGCGCATCTACACTCGCGCTGCTGGGTCGGGTCGGAGAGGGTGTGTTGTTCCGCGATCATTCGCCTCATGTCCCTGCGAGCGGCGAAGACTCTTGCGGCGGTCGCGGCTGGCGCCGCCCACCACACGGTGGCTTTCGACGGGGGCGACGCTCCGGCGGCCCTGGCCTCCGAGGTCGTCGAGGACGACGCCGCGGCGCACGACGTGCGGGCGCTCGTGCCCGAACTCTTGAAACGGGCGCTCCGGAGAGACGCCACGGCCATGGCGGCGCTCCGCGCGCGCGACGAGATGGCGCGGCGCGCGCTGGCGATCGGCGCGAAGCTCGCGCGCGACCCGGCCGTGCGGCGCTCGGCCGTGCGGCGCTGCCGGGCGGCGTCCGGGAAGGAGCGGGAGCTGATCGCGGAGGCGGTCGCGAGCCTCTCCGCGGAGCTCGAGGAGCTCCGGCGCGAGGTCGCGCGCGACCGCGACGACCCGCGGCGCTTCGAGGCGGCCCCCGGCCGCGAGCGGGCCGGGGACCCCCTCGGCCGCCTCGGCGAGGCGCTCCTCGCCGCCGCGCTCGTCGCCGCGCCCATCGTCTACGTCGCCGCGGTGACCCGGGAGCCCGCGTCCAAGCGCGCGCAGGCCGCGGGCCTCGTCGCGGCGGCCGGCCTCGCGGCGATCCTGAGCGGCGCCCTGGGCGAGCGCGCCCGCGAGTGACGCCCGTTCCTCAGGCCAGGAGCGCGCGCCCATCGCGGGCCGGGCACGCCGCTTGAGGCCCGGGGGGGGGGAGCGGCGATTTCGGCCGTAAGTCGGCTTCCGAGTCGGCGCCCTCGGGGCGAGGGCGTCGACCCCGCAGCCGACGCCCCCGGGCGCGCGGACGGAGGGTGCGGACCCTCGGACCCTCGTGCAGCCGCGTCCCCACCTAGGTTTCTGGTTTCCTCGAGATTCTTCGAGAGCCGCGGCAGGTCACGGTCGAGAGCACTGGCACGTCGATGGGCCCAGGATCGGACCCAGGGCTCGGACCTTTCGGACGAGGGGAAGTTCGCTCGGCCGAGGGGCCCGGACGAGGGGTCGTCTCGCGAACAAGCCGAAATCGCCGCGAACCCCTCGAGAACAATATTAATACGCCGGCACCTTGAACGATGCGTTGAGCGGAAAAAAAACGCTCGTCGGTTAGCCGCGGCTGCCGCGTGATGGGGGTGCGAGTCGCGGTAAGGTATGGTGGTGGCGAGGACATCTTCCTCGGGACCGCCGGGGCGGCGGACGGCGACGGGCGGCGGGAGGTGACCTACGACGACGGCGACGTGGCCGTCGCCGAGGCGGCGTGGATCACGGCCGTCGCGCCCCTGGCGTCGCTCGGCGCGGCCGTCGACGCGCGGGTCCTCGCGCGCTTCGAGGACGGCAACTGGTACTGGGGCGCGGTGACCGCCGTTGGCGACGGCGCCGTCGACGTCGCCTTCGACGACGGGGACGCGCTCGCGGGCGTCGCGCTCGGCGACGCGCTCGGCGTCGCGGCGGCGCCGGCCGAGCCCGCGGCCGAGCCCGCGGCGCCGGACGCGCCGCCGGACGCGCCGCCGGACGCGCCGCCGGACGCACCGCCGTCGCCCGACTACGAGAGCGACGCGTTCGACGCCGACGACGGCGCCGCCGGCGCCGCCGCCGCCGCCGCCGACGACGGCGACGGCGGCGCCGTCGACGCCGCCGCCGACGACGACGACGGCGCCGCCGCCGACGCCGCCGACGACGGCGACGCGCCGGCGGGCGGCGACGCGCCGGACTTCGACGCCGGCTTCGCCGCCGCGGAGGCCGACGACGCGCTCATGGCCGGCGGCGGCGGCGACCTCGGCGTCTTCGGTTTCGGCGCCGAGTCTGACGACGACGAGGGCTCGGGCTGCGGCGGGTCGCCGCGGGAGCCGTTCCTCGTGCGCGCCTTCGAGGGGGGCGGGTCGCCGGAGCCGGTGACGCCCGAGGCCGGCGCCGCGGACCTCGTCGGCGGCGGCCTCTACGCGCTCGCGGCTCGGTCGAGGCGGCGGCTCGGTCGACGGCGGCGGCGCGTCGGCCGACGGCGGCGACGCCTGGGGCTTCGGCGCCGCGGAGGCGCCGGCGCCGGGCGCGGCGCGCGACGCGCCGGACGCGCCGCCCGCGCGCTTCGCGGCCGCCGCGCGGCTCCGCGCCGACGGCGCCGCGCGCGCCGCCGCGCCGCCGCGCGCGCGGCTCGCGCTGCTCCTCGGCGACTGCGCGGCGCTCGAGGCGCGGCTCGAGCGCGACGAGGTCGCGGCGGCGCTGGGCGGCGGCGCGGGCGGCGCGCGGCCGCGGCTCGGCGGCGGGCCCGCGCGCGACGCGCTCCTCGGCGCGGCAAAAGGGTGCGACATTCCCAGCTTCAAAGGCTCCTAGCTCGGCCGTGTTCCACTCGTTTCGGCTGATTTTTGGACGAGCGATCATCTCTCGGAACGGTCTCGACGCGTGGATGTGTTTTCCGGAACGCGCGCGCGCGGCACACTCACGTTGAAGCGACGTTGCATCACCCGTGTGCCGCCCAGGCGCTCCTCGGCGGTCGCATGCGCGCGGTCGCGCTCTCGCGGCTCTGCTTCGGCACGGCCGCGCCGGAGACGCTCGGCGCGCTCGTGGACCTCGCCGAGGGCTACGCGGACGCGGGCCTCTGGCCCCAGGCCGGGGGCCACGCGGCGCGCGCGGCCGCGCTCCTCGACGCGGCGGCGTCGGCCGGCGACGCGCCCGCGCTCGCGCGCGCCGCGCGCCGCGCGGACGACGCGCGGCGCGCGGCGGCCGCCGCGCGCGCGCTCCTCGACCTCTTCGCGCGCCTCGAGCGCGTCGCCGCGCGCGACGGCGGCCGCGTGCCCTGGAACGACCTCGTCGCCGCGCTCCGCCGCGCGGAACGCGACCGCCGGGTCGGGGGGTCCCGACCGAACTCTCGAGCTCGGTCACATCGACGTCGATTCGGCCGATGTTTGGACGAATCGATGGCTCTCGTCGAGTGCTCGAAGCGCGGCCGAAGAGTTCGACACCGTCGCGTATGCGCCCATCGAAGTCGGGTCGAAGATTCGAACGCCGCGCAGGCGCTCCGGCGGTCCGCGGCGCCCGGGCTCGCGGACGTGCCCTGGGGCGTCCGCGAGGGCGACGCGGCGCCGGCGGCCGCGCGGCGCGGCCGCCCGGGCGGCGGGCCCCTCGACGGCGGGTCCCTGTCCTGGGGGCGCGCCGTCGGCTTCCTCCGGTCCGCGCCTGTGCCGAAACCAACCACTGGTTTGGGGGGTCCCCACCAAACTTGAGAATTCTCTAGCTCGGTCAAATCAAAGTCGATTCGGTTGATTTTTGGACGGATCGATCGCTCTCGTCGAGTTCTCGAAGCCCAGCCGAAGAGCTTGTGTCAATACATTCGAATACGCTCACATTGAAGTCGGGTTGAAGATTTGGTTTCGGCACAGGTCCGCGCACGGCGGCTTCGTCGCGGCCGCGCGCGCCGTCGAGCGCGCCGCGGACGCGCGCGACGTCGCGGAGCTCGAGCGCTGCTTCGCCGCGGCGGAGGTCGAGCCGGGCAAGGGCGCCGCGGCGCCGCGGGAGCTCCGCGCGCGCGTCGTCGCGTCGTCGCGCGGCGGCGCGGCCCTCGCGGCGTCGGGCCTCCGCGCGCTGCTCCGGCGCCGCTGCGCGGGCGCCGCGGCGCCCCTCGCGTGGGAGGAGTGCGTCGCCGCGCTCGTCGCGGGCGACGACGGCGGCGAGTCGACGCCGCGGGGCGTCGAGGCCGTCGGCGACGGCGGCGGGCCCGCGGCGACGCGCGGCGAGCGGCGCGCGCACGGCCTCCGCGCGCGCGCGCTCGTCGTCGGCGGCCGCGCGCGCGCGCG